AGCGTGGAGACCACAAGCTGACAGAAGAAGAAGAGGTAGACCACCTACACGATGGACAGACGATGTCAAAAGAATCGCTTGGAATTGACTGCAGGAGGGGAGGCCTACGGCAAACTTTGGACGCAGAAGGTTGGATGATAATAATTATTGTCATAGTAGGCTTCTTCTTCTTCTTGTAGTGCCTATCCGTTTTGGATATTGGCGACCATCATGGCAATCCGTATTTTGAAAACTCACTTCTGTGATTCTATTCATTAACTCCTAGAGCGCATTCGCGTACCTGATGTTATTGATACATTCTCCGTTAATTCGAACTCCGGCTTTAACATCCTCTACTACTTCTTGAAAGATTTCCTCAGAGTATATGTTAAACAGCAAGGGTGATAATATACGTCCCTGTTGGACCCCACGTTTGATTTTGATATCATCGGATTCCCGTGCCTCTGTACGGATAGACGATGTTTGATTCCAGTAAAGATTGATAATAATTCTCAGATCATAGGTGTTTCCAATGTTTGTTAATATTTCTATCAGCTTGTCGTGTTTTACTGTATCAAATGTTTTATGATAATCAATGAAGCATCCATAAATATGGCAATTCACATCTCTACATCGTTGAAATAGAACTTTTATGCTAAAGAGGGCCTCTGTCGTACTATACTCTTGTTCTGAAGCTATTTTCTTGTGGCATTGTAAATTAATTACTATTAAACTGGGAATAAGCCACAATTAAAGATAAAATACGTTTATTGACGTTTCAATTTCCACTTCGGAAATCGTTCTCAAAATACAAACAGTAAATTAAACAAATTTTGTTTTTTGTTACATAGTGAAAAATTCTTCTAATAATTTAATTTTATCTGACTTATTTATATTGACAATTCAGACAAACATTATACATTTTAAAGTAGACGACTGTAAAATGATATTGCCAATATTGTTGAGTTGCGCTCCTGGGACGACTTTACTTATAAGATAGTTCATTCGATTACATGAAATCAACTTTAACTTGAGAATATCCGTCAGAAAAAATCATAGCATGAAATTCGTCTTTAAAAAGACAAACACATGACATGATGACAGTAAAATTCTAGTGTTAGTGATTCCATAGTAAATTATGAGGGAAAAACCAGGAAAAAAACCTCATAATACTATCCCGACATTGTAAGTATTTGTTCGTGAATTTTGTTTATCTTCAACAAACATCAAAATTCTGATTTTATATGTTACGTTATTTAAAACACATAAATGATGTATCCTCTATATGTTACTGACTTACTAATACTGGTATTTTCTTATTAATAACTTCCTCTTTCAATATTGGTAACCAGATCCTACTACATTCTGCCGAGGAATTTGCGACACAATTGGCTTCATTTAGCATAATTAGAGCCGCTTCTTTGATTTTTCTTTTTTTACCATCCGTTTCTTTTAGGACTACATTTGAATTATTCCATTGAACCCTATGTTCATTATCCCATGCGTGTTTACAGATTTGAGATCTATCAAATTCTCTATTTTTAATATAAGATTGATGTTCACTTATTCTAACATTTAATGGCCTTGATGATTCACCTAAATAAAACTGATCGCATTCACAAGGTATTTTATAAATGCAATTCTTTGTCCTTTCTTGTTCATTGTTAGGTTTGGTTTTGGACAAAATAGATTTCAACGTGTTTGTTGTTTTGAATGTTGTTGAAATGTTGAATTTACTTCCTATCCTTTTAAGTTTTTCTGATAGTCCTTTTATGTGCGGTATTGTTATTTTCCTCATATTATTCCTTGTGTATGCTGTAGGATCTCTTTCTAAGTTGTTCTGTTCTATTCGATCGATTGTTGAAAATTCCTTATTTATAAACGATAAAGGATAATCATTTTTTAATAAAACAGATGTTAACAAATGTTTCTCCTCCAAGAACGAATTTTCGTTAGAACAAGTAATTTTGGCTCTATCGTATAAGGATTTAATTATTCCCTTTTTTACATTAATATTGTGATTTGATTTGAAATTTAAATATCTATTGGTGTGTGTTGGTTTTCTATACACCTGAGTCTCATATCCAGTATCGTTCTTAGAGATTAAAACATCCAGGAAAGGTAGCGTGTTATTATATTCCTTTTCCATGGTAAATGTTATTTTCTCTTCTTTATCGTTTATATCATTTAGGAATGTGTTCAACAACTCTGATCCATGAGGCCATATTGAGAATACATCATCTACATACCTCCACCATACTGTGGGTTTGAAATTTTGTTTAGAAATGATATTTGTTTCAAAATCTTCCATAAATATATCGGCTAAGAATGGAGATAAACTAGAGCCCATTGCTAGACCAAAATTTTGTTTATAGAATTCATTATTTAGTTGAAGATATGTATTATCAGTACATAATGTTAATAACTCCATTATAGCCGATATGTTTAGTCTTGTTCTAGTTGCCAATGAATCATCACTCTCTAATTTTGTCTTGACTATACTTAAAGTCTTATTTAATGGCACATTCGTAAATAAACTATTTATGTCAAAACTTACCAAAGTATGATTTGAATTAAATTCAATATTTGATAATTTATTTAAAAAATGTTGTGTATTTTTTATGAATGTGTCATTTTTATTTGTAAATGGTTTTAAAATATTTAATAAAAATTTTGATAGTTCACTACAAGGAGAATTCATGGTACTACAAATGGGTCTAAGTGGTATATTCGTTTTATGAATTTTCGGTACTCCATAAAAATGAGGAGTCTTACTGTAATGAGGTGTAATTAATCCTCTCTGATAACTTGTTAAAACATCTTTAAACTTGAAAAAAGTTCTATATATTTTGTTTTCCAAAGACTTTGTTGTATCTTTTGTTAATTTTGTATAAGGTCCGTTTATTAACAGATCTTTAATTTTATTTTCGTATTGAATTTTATCCATTATCACAGTTGCATTCCCCTTGTCTGCTGGTAGAATGATTATGGAGTCGTCATTTTTTAAAGTTCTTATAAAATATAAAATAAAATATAAAATAAAACATATAAAATCAGAATTTTGATGTTTGTTGAAGATAAACAAAATTCACGAACAAATACTTACAATGTCGGGATAGTATTATGAGGTTTTTTTCCTGGTTTTTCCCTCATAATTTACTATGGAATCACTAACAGGAGAATTTTACTGTCATCATGTCATGTGTTTGTCTTTTTAAAGACGAATTTCATGCTATGATTTTTTCTGACGGATATTCTCAAGTTAAAGTTGATTTCATGTAATCGAATGAACTATCTTATAAGTAAAGTCGTCCCAGGAGCGCAACTCAACAATATTGGTAATATCATTTTAAAGTCGTCTACTTTAAAATGTATAATGTTTGTCTGAATTGTCAATATAAATGAGTCAGATAAAATTAAATTATTAGAAGAATTTTTCACTATGTAACAAAAAACAAAATTTGTTTAATTTACTGTTTGTATTTTGAGAACGATTTCCGAAGTGGAAATTGAAACGTCAATAAACGTATTTTTATCTTTAATTGTGGCTTATTCCCAGTTTAATAGTAATTAATGTACTATACTCTGTCGTTTATATATCCTTTAATGTATGATTTTTGGAAATAATATTAAAATGTAGCTCATTAAGCTGATGGTCCGGAAATCATTTCAGGATACGGATTTTTTTTTTCTTTGGTGGAGCAATAAACGTTGACTTCAGCCATGATCTTGGTATTACTCAGTTTAAATATATGTCATTGAATATTTTTGTTAGTTGTTGAGTAATGTCGGTGTTAAATAGCTTTATGAGTTCAGCATATGCATTGTCAGGTTCAGGAGCTTTGCTATCTTTTAGTTGTGATATTGCTTTTTCCACGTCATCTGACGTGATTGGTAAGTGGTCATTACATATGTAGGACGGAGGTTGTTCAGGCCTATTATTATCAAATAGTTCTTGTATTTATTTGGTCCATATGTATATTTCTTGATTTTTATCTGTGATGATGTATTCCTGTTGATCTTACAGTTTGCTACCTGTGGTGGATTTTTACAGACCAGCAGCAATTCTCTTTGACCTTTCGTGTTTCGGTTCTTATTTATCTCTGAATATTTTTGTACATTCTTTTGTTATTCTTCGATTTTCTTCATTCTTCCACGAGTTGCAATATATTGTCATTCGTCCAACTTTTCTTCTTTTCTTTATTTTCTATTAGATGTTCTTCTCTGATCTTGTTAAAGGTTTTACATATATTCTGGAGTGATTCTTCTGGATCATATGTTTGCTCCATGTTACTTAGCTTATCTGAAAAAATCCGTGCGACTGTCTCCTTTGTTTTCTTACCTGTTAGTCTTCTGATATCAATTTTTTTGTTACTATTATTTTTTGTAATATTTTTAAATCTAAACCTAAATTTACCAGTAACAGCACCGGGGTAACTTTTAACTGATAGACATCCATTACAGAAACTCTTGTTCACCATTATGTAATTAATTTGATTCCTTATTATGTTTCCTGGTTGATCTTGCGGGGAGGCCCAAGTATACCAACGTCTTGAAGGACGTATTTAGTATTGCAAATTCTTCTTCCTCTACAAATCTTTCTCTCCTTTCATTTCTCTTCCCTAGACCAAAACACCAATTAATTCACCGCTTTTGCCTTTACCAATTTTTGCATTTAAGTGAAGCGTAGAGAGTAGGCTAATTTGGAATATTCTCCACGAAAATCAGTCATACTTTCCGGAATCCAATACTGTCAATAGCGATTCACTTTCACGCTCATACGGAAGTAACATTTGATAAGTTTTGTTTTTCGCTTTATGTTGAACTCCATTGTCCCAATTTAATCTTAATGTATAAGAATATAGCATTATAAACAAACGATTTTGACAATGTCAATCTATATATAACGAAGTGATTTATTATAACCAAGTACCTACTGGAGCATTTGCGCAATTTGTGTGTTTAATGTTTCTATTATTAATCCATTATTGAACCATGTTAAACTGTTATCTTTTTTACAGGTGGTGATCATACCAGACAAATCAACGATTCAAGCAGCCGTAAAAAACTTTACTAAAAATCTTGGCGAAAACGGCCACGGCATCAGGCTAAACATAACATCTACCACACGGCCACCTCTACAAGTCGATCCAATTATCAAGCCAAACGAAAAATCTAGTACCACTGTAAGCGTAAATAAAAGCATTGTAACAGACGCTCGTAATGATACAGACGATGGCGACGATTTCAGTATCGCTAACCCGAGTGATTTGGATACTGAAGAGGGAGGTAAAAAGTTCAATGAGTCGCTATCCAAGCATAACGTGACTAGTTCCAAAACGGTAAGTGTTGTTTTTGTTTAGTTTGTGGTTTAAACCTATGTCGTACTTTAGTAGTAGAAACGCACCAAAGCGTGAAACCCCATATTTTATTCTTTGAGTAATTAGAATTGTATCTGTTACAGTTCCTTTATCATTAATGACATTATTATTCGAAGTCAATATTTATAATAGTCGATATTCGAAGATCGAGTAATGTACCAACTGTGTGAATTTTGTAAACACTGACCCATGATACAGTTCTAGTCTAGTCAATTTGTCAGTGTCACCTATGCGTTTAACACTGGCTGCTAATCTATCATACATATGCCATTATGATCAGCCTAAAATCAATTCCACATGAACCTTTATTAAATCACTCTTTATTCCTATGTTTTCCATTTCATAGCGTATGATAAAAATTACATTTGTTTTTCCATAAATCTATGCAATTAACAACCTACACGAAAATGAAAGTAATATAAATATCATTAAAATATATTTCTTAATTGTTGATGTCGACACTGTGTATCCAGTTTATTACGGATTATATTTAATATAATAAAAACGGAGATAATAACAACTATCAAATCTCTCAGAAATATCAAGTCTCCGGGAATCAATAACATTGCTGCCGAAATACTTAAAACTGATCCCCATCTATAGTTTATTTTTATGAACGAGAGAGTAATTAGCATAATTTTAACTGGTACCTTCGACCACTCCATGGGCGTGCTCAAGATTAATTGAAAAATTACTTTGAATAATTGTAAAAAATAAATGAACTATTTCAGTGTTATAAAGTGTTATGTGTATGTAAACAAAAGTGACCTCTTTTATCACACACTATATTAGAACTGACTGGCCTACATTAAAAAGGGTTTTAAAAAATTCACATTTTTTTTAATTTTTAAAAATTACAAAAGAGAAAAAGAGTTTTTAAAACCGTCTAAGGTATGTTAAATAGATGAATAAAAATATTAATATAAAACTTACAGCTACTTGTTACAAATCCAAATCAGATTCAGAAGATGAACTTTCAGAACCAAGATTTATAATAACTGGCTCGATAATTTTATCAGTAATATTGTCCAGCTTCCACATTTTTTCCTCTTCTTTAATAGTGTGATTTACTGCCTTTTCCCAGTTTTCAGGTTTTACATTATTTACGGCCTCCAAAAACAACTGTTTAACATCATGAATTTTAAAAGTGGCATTTTTTCTTGAAATTTCACTCTTTATCTGTGCCCATACCAGTTCAATCGGGTTTAATTCACAATGATATGGTGGGGATCTAAGTAATGTCATTCCACGATTTTTGGCAATTTCATCAATTTCGTATTTTTTAAAATTTTCTTTATGAAGGGCACACAACGAATAAAGTTCCTTTCTTATAGATCCGGGATGGTACGTAATATTTTTTGAACTCTTTTTGCCAATTCTGCAAGTCTTTTTTTAACCACTTGGTTGTGGGCAGTCCTTCTATAAGTCTGGAGTGATAACTTGCATTATCCATTACTATTACACAGTTCTTAGGAAGAAGATCTATCATTTGTTCGAACCATTCTTGAAAGACATCAGCGTTCATGTCTTCATGGTAGTCACCGGTACGAGTTGATTCAAAAGTTAATAAACCACCTTCAACAAAACCGTCTGAACTGCCAATGTGTACTATTATCAGCCTGCGTCCCTCTCCTGATGGTGGGTTTAAACAAGTAGATAAGTTATTTACAAAAGCGTGCCTTTGACTTGTAACAGTTTCATTCTGCCAAAATTTATTTGGCGTATGACCCTCGTTGATCCATGTTTCATCAAGATAAAATATTTTTCTTTTTTTTGGTTTCTCATTTCCTTTATGGTTATTAAAAAATGTCTTCTCCATATGACAATATCGCTTCTTTCTAATAAAATAGACTTTCTGGGATTCTTTTTCCAGCGGAAGCCTATTTCTTTTAAAAGTTTCCATAACGTACTTCGACTCATTTCTGGGTAATCCTTATCATCTCGAACTGAGACAAGAACTTTATCCAATGTTGGAAATACTTGTCTAAAGAAGAATTCATGCACTTTCCGTCGAAGTTCTTCTTTAAAATGATATTCTATTTGAAATTTTGGTTTCCCTGGAGCATTACGTGGCATTTGAAAACTACCACATTTCTCTTCTTTAATAACTCTGTAAATCGTAGATTTCCCAACACCAAGTGTACTGCTAACTAACTCAACGGTCTTATCAACACTTTCACATAAACGTTTGTCTGTAAATGATTTAAAACAATTAAATATTAATGTTTTTTCATTAACTGTTAAAGGATCAATTTTTCGGCGTTTACACGGCACTTCCAAATTTTCCATAACACTAGTATACACAATAAACTGCACCTTGCAACTGAAGTACCTACTTTTAGTGAACTGTTAAGAATTTTGAATACGCCACTTGGACCTTCCTACAAAATGGAAAAACCCACTATCACATTTTCTGTGGAATAAGTTTAGAAGGTAATTATCTAGTCAATTACTGTCGTAGATTCCTGGAATTAAAGAATTAAATGTTTGATTGTTGAAACCCTTACTTCGTGGAATGCACTCATTTCAGATAAAATAAAACGTTTTATTTTATCTAAAGAATTAAACTTTATTTTGCAAATAGGTAGGTACTTATTAAACTTTTATTGGTTATATATAACCAATAAAATAAACATCTTACATTTCTTGCAAATTCATTAGTACCTGTTAACCTCCATCACTCCGACACTGGCAACCTTATTTAGGGATTAGTAACCCTCACAACTATTGTATTCTATTCTGCTCCAACCTTTATACCTGGTGGTCATACTCAATTTAAAATTGTTTTCCTGTATACTTCTGTAAACTTGTTGACAAATATCTGTTTTTCATTGAGTCACCCGTATCAACAGTTTAGGGATTTGCATACATAATTTATTGTTTTATTACTCTCTCATACATAAAAATACACTATAGAGTAGAGTTGAATCAGGTTTTTTAGGAACCATCTGTACATATTGTGCGTAAATCGATGTAAATTCGATTGTTTTCTACGAGGGGCGGGGGTTTAGAAAGAAGCCCGGTGGTAGGAGTGTCTAAACTTTTTTGCATCTTTTTTGGGGTACAAAAATGGACATTCTTAACAAAATCCAGCTTGTTCGTAAATTTTTAGAGGCTCAGTGGCATTTTCGCTTCTGACGACTGGACTAATTTTAAATGCTTAAAATTTATTTACTAGTTTAGATAAAAAACATACATAAACTCATACACTTTAGTGCTTGCAAATATTAAAAATTGAAATCGTATACAAACATATGCGAAATAATATCTGTGTTTAGACACGAAACGCACCTTATTTTCACTCTAAAAAACAACTACAACGAATTAAATCATTCGAATTCTTTTGAGACTCGACCAGTTGACATTGATCGGTGGATTTGCAATGTTTCAACGGCTTTTACAGTAGATATAAATAATTAATTTGTCTACTCACTTTCATTATTACTTGCAGCTCGTTAAGTCGCAATGCTAATTGGTTTTCTGTGTGTTTGCTTGTATCAAGAAATAAGAAACGTTCTTAGAGAGTGACGTTAAGCATGATCGGGTTTGTTGGAAAATTGTTGTATCCGTGAGGAACTACATTCGCCCATGTAAAAAATGGATAAAAATAAAGAACTCCTCCTCTTTTTTCCCCTTAAGATATAGAACGCACAACTCGTAAGTGATATTAAGCCAAAACTACTGATATCTCAATAAATTAAAAGAAAATATCAGATTTATACATGAATTAATTGGAACAAAAGAAAAAAAACAATTTTTTTCTCAAACCTTATCCTGTAATCATTACATCCCATAAATAGACTAAAAAATCTATATATTCAATGGGATTTAGGTCTGGTGACTTACCAGAACAATCAAGTACTTTTACTTTATTTTCACATATAAAGGTCCGGACCAATTTCGAATTGTGAGAAGGGGCCAAGTAATGTTGAAATGTTCCATTTTCCTTCTCTTTTTGTAGAAGATGATCAGGAATTTTCTTAAAATTCTGCATAATTTTTCAATGTATTTGGCAGAATTTTGGAAGAGTATTTTACGTTCTGTTGGATATGATCTCGTCGCAGAGGTTCACATTCACTTCGTCTAACACAACTTGATTTTATCCCTGCACAAATAAATGTTATTCATCACTTGAGATCATCAGAAGTATAAGAAGAACACAAATATCTTGGCTGAAAAACCAAAGAGAGTGTATTATAGCAGTACAAAACAACTCTTTAGAGCAATTTCTTCGAAAATTAGAGGTGCCATGATGATTTGTAATCTCCGAAGATAGCACTTGAAAAAGAAAGAAGACCTTGTTAACTGTGTTTCACAGTAAATGAAGAGTATATTAAATGAGTTGGGTAGTAAATATAGCTAAAGCAGAAATAACTAAAATAGTATTTTCCAAACAATAGCAAACTATAGACTGCCAAAACCAATGGAACATGGACACCGTACAAAAAAATAGGTATACCAAGAACAATCTAGATGGGCGGTGTAGAAAAGGAAATGGGAGAAGAGTCCTGCAAGATGATTGATAGAGAGCAGTACTCAAAGAGTATGAGTCGAAAAACGCATACATCGTTATATCAATGACGGAAAAGTGTTTTTTTAGTAAAAACAATCTTCCCTGAGTGAATTAGTCATTCAAGTTAAAAAGTATCAGACGGTTTTAACTTATGGACCATGATAAACAAATTTATCGCACTTTCTTTCAATTAATCGTTTTTGTTGTTCAATTTCAGGACCCGAATTTGTTCTACAATACATCAATCTATGACGACCCGAATATTGGGCATTTCTATTGGGTGGACATGAACAATCGTAGCGATGTGAAAGTCAACGAACTTCTGTCTCAGTCTCATCGAAGAGCGGCGGTAAGTTATTTTTTGTTTGGATTATATTTATTAGAAATTAGAATGCGTGGTGCGGTAAGTATAAATGTTTTGTTGTTATTTACCGAAGGAAATAGCAAATGCGACGATGATTTTAAAGTTATACCATGTATTATACGAGTTTGCTAAAAAGTAGCTTTTAACATTTTGCGGGTGACGTATATTCAATCCTCAATATTTTTTTGTTATCTTGGTACACTCGTCCCCAACACATGCTAACCTTATCAGCTGTTTTGAATTTATCGTTTGTTTTTTACATATACAGTGCTAGTCAAAAGTCCGTTCCCCACTAGTATCTTTTGAACGGTTATTGTTATAATAGTGAAATTTAGAGGGAGGTAGGTAATAAACAGACGTAGGCTTCTCAACTAGTCATGACAGGTGACGTAATACTGACAGATGACGTTGCAGACCCACTATGACATATAATTTTAAATGGGACCTTATGGCAAGTGATACCTCGTTTGAAAGGTATTGACAATACCTATTCAGTCATAATAATTTTGTTTGAGTTTAAGCTCATTTTGATGAATAAATTAAATAAATACTAAAATTGTAGCTTTTCATTTAATTAATAAACATTTAACAACCGGTTCTTATAGTAAGTGTTCAAAATGTGCTTCATCTATTTCGTGACAATAATGCATCCTATTTCTAAACTTTTGCCGTACTCGTTCAAATGTGTCGGGGGAAATTGCCCGACATTCTTCAACAATTCGTTGTTTCAAAATATCAATATTATCGGGTGCTGTAGCGTAAACTTTAGATTTCAAGTAACCCCACAGGAAAATCTAATGGTGTGAGGTCCAGTGACCGCGCTGGCCATTCGTATCTGCACCTACTGCACCATAATGGTGTTGAAATTAATCTTGTTGAAAAGTTATTTAAAAGTTGCCGAATTCATCTGGATTATTCTCCAGAATTTCAAGTATTAACGGTTCACTTGCATTTTGTAACATCTCTAAATACACTTTACCGATTAAGTTAGTATTGAGAAAAAAAGGCCCAATTATGTGGTTTCTCAAAATACCTGCCCAAACATTTTTTTTTTTGAGGATTTGTGTCATTCCAATACTTCACAATTTCCATTGAGACAAAAAGTACTTTCGTACTAAAACAAATTGTTTTTATGTAATCGGGCTGTTGGTTAATTTTATTGGACATATTTTGGACAATTGGACAATTTGTATGGATGAAATTTGTTTTCAGCCAATACTCGGTGTACTGTCTTTTAAATGAATCCATAGATATATGCAACTTGGGACAGTATTGGGACTTGAACAGTACCTGTTTGTTTAAACTTCCGAAGAAGCTTCCAAGGCTGTTTTCGCAGTTATAGCATACTGCGATTTGAAGTGGGCGTATCACTTACTTTTCTACACTGCTATGTCAGACCCTACGTGACTTCCTAATAATTTGGATGTTTATTCAGTGGCGCCGGCCCACGGGTTGTTTAAAATAAATGCATTATTCTCCATTCAAATTAGTTTTGTCGGAATACTTTTTTTTTAGATTAATTATCGTAGATAATGTTTTAAAAAGAATTAATCACATTTTTAATTTATATGTCTTAGCTAAACATAGTATTAAATAAAAATTTGTGAAACGTGATTGCAAAAAACACCATGGTGTTTATTTATAATAAATTTAAATTTTGTTATATTAATATTAATATATAATTAATATTTTGTTAATATTTGTTAGAGAAAACTGATATTAGCGTAATAAAAATTAAACAAAAAATATTTTTATTTATCTATAAAAAATTGGTACCTGCGAAACCATCATAATAGTAAATGTATTTATCTGGCAAGTATTTCGAGGCGACGCACTGCGAGGAAAAAGTTCTCTGAATGGAATATACATTATTTTAATATATTTATAGGTTGCAGTTACATAAGAAAAGTATCCAATTGATGAATAAAACACAAATCGTGGATAGTTATTTCATCATATCAGTGGCATTTCAGCTCGTCATGAGCCAAAGGCTTCTTCAGAACAATCTTCCATTCGCCCCTGCCTCTGGCAACTTTCTCCATGCTTTAACTCCGATGGATTTTAGATCATCCTCTATGTTATCTTGATACCTAAGTTTTGGTCTTCCTCTGGGTCGTCTTCCCACTGGTCCTCTTCGGTCGAAAATTTTTCTGATCGTTTCATCTTCATCTCGCCTAATTACATGTCCTATCCATCAAAGGTGTACTAATTTAATAAATTTTACAACGTCAGGTACTACACCTGAAGAAGCATCGTAGTTTACTTTATACGCTCTTTTTGACCAAGCACCATCAGCTATAACGGTTATTAACCCATTTCCGTCGGAATCTACTTCACCAATTTCTTTGGCTAAAGCTAATTCCTCCCGTCCAGCCTCTTCTAAGGAATCACAAAGTGTTTGGCCGATGGTATCTGCAACTGTTTCCGTATGTTTTGCATACTGCCTGTAGGAAATCACAGGTATATTTAATGCAGCGTGCTGCTGCTGTATGTCTGAATAACCAGAACCATTCAAGTTCAGTGAATTGTTACCAGAATTATATGTTGCTATCTCCTTTTCAATATTCCACATTTGACATTTAAAAGTCAATGTACTTATCAATCCGTCCATTTTTTCTTTGATAATCTCCATATTAAAAGTTGCATGAAAATGGAGAATGATTATTCAAACCTTGAATATATATATATATATATATATATATATATATATATATATATATATATATATATATATATATATATATATATTATAAGTTAATTAAAAGCTTTTAAAAACGGTTGTAATATAAATAATAAATACTAAAGCAGTGCAATTGCTCTCCTTTTCCTTGACATAGGACGTTTACTGGGACTCATTTTTTATCTTGTCTCTTATAACTTATATCACTAACCTAATGTAATACTTAAAAATACGCGTAAACTAAAGAACTTTTAACTTATACCACTAAACTAATAATATATTACTTAACATACACGTAAACTAAATAATTTCAATGTTTTCAAAATAAATAAGAATACTGTAAACTGTAAAAACTAAGCAAGTTGATAAAGAAAATACAAGAATGAAAGAACTAAAATGGATTCTAATTCAAGCGAACTAACTGACCGTACCCATAGAGAAATAAAAATAAGACCGTACCGTACGCTCATGTGATTTGACGTCACTAATGCGATAACGATCAAGCTCAGCGACAATGATGAGGAACACGTTTCACTATTAGATTTCAGTATTTTTTAGCAATTTTCTTCAAAGTTTGAATACGCTTTTCTCGATTATTACTGGACACAGAAAGGTGAAAAAAGAATCAACGATTACAGAAAAAAAAACTCTTTCAACTGATGGGCGTGAAAAGTTTGGTTATAATAGAACGTTAAACAGTATAATCCAATTTTTCAACACAAAATTCAAAAAAATAAAAAAAGTAAAACTATCAGTTTAAAGGCAACATAATTTCGTATAACATGTCCAAATTTCGAGACAGTTCGTCGGTAAATAACAGAGAAAAAATTTTGGTGCACCGATAAAACAGCCTTAAATAAGCTCTTGATGTAGGGCGTACATCTCTTTAAAAAGACATTCCGCTGCCTGGAAATTATTTCCACATTCACCAATTAGTAACACAGCTGCTACCTTGTTGGCTACGGTACGTACCATTCTGTCTTTGTAAAAATTTAAACGTCTCGTTAAACAATAAGTAAACTAAATATTAACTAAGAACAACTAACTGAAAACAACTTGACTAAACTTGAATTGACTAAACTAAGCAGAAACAGAAATTAATATTCAGGTATAGACGCGTTTGCAAATTAAAAATAATAGATAATAATTGACTAAACTAAGCAGAAACAAAAACTAAATATTAAGCTATAAACGCTTTTGCAAACTAAACACAACTAGAGAATTGACAAACGTTAACTTTTTTTACAAATTACCAAAGGCGGACGTTGAAATTTTTATTAATTAAATGCAAAACTAGAATTAGAGTTCACTAGGAAACTAAGTTCCTGTAGCTGGTTGAATACCATGTATCACAAATTTTTGTTTATATTTAAAATCCTTTATAAAAGGTATATAATTAAAACACCCATTCGGGTTATATCACAATTACAAAACGTTTTTGGAATCTATATTCCATCATCAGTGTAATTAAGTGTATATGTTTTGAGGCACTAAAATATTTGGGTAAAAACCTGTTAAATGCTGTTAGTTTAAATTTCTGTTACATTATTCGGTCTTATATGTTGAGATGTTAAAGTTACCAGTGGAATTGATAACATGTCAACGTAAGATTCCACATGAGGTTGCTTACATGATGCAACCTATAGACTCTATAACGAGAACTGAAATGGCAGACTAATTACCTCGTTAAAAGCCGATCTCGTTATATTAAACAACAATAATACTGTGCATACAAATGAATATGTACGTTTAAATGGCGTTTTTGAAAAACGTTGTTTACTTTTGTCAATGATATAGGTTAAAACAAAAAATCTATATTCTGTAAATCTGTATAAAGCATATTTTCAAGGAAAACATAAACTATTGCTTCTGCAATTGGAAGAAGTCTGTCATTTTTGACTGCTTTAAATTGTCCAGTATCATTCCATCTATCATATTTTCGGATAAAGTTTCTTACAACGTTTTAAGCACTTTCCACATCTTGTCTATTAGGACCTTCTTGTTATTAGGTGCGAATGATCAAACTCCTACACTGACACTTGTGAATCATAAAGTTCCGGCAACACAATTCCGGCATCGGTCAATAGAAATTTCACGGGACATCTAATGTTCCTCGTTATACGCGAATCCTCGTAATAACCCTTCGTTATAGAGGGAGTATACTGTATTACAAATATATTGTAAAATCAGTCTCCTTTTAACTAATTTTAATAACAAGTCATCTTTTTTTATCTACGAGTAATTAACATTCCGCGTATGAATTTCGGACCAAAATAACATTTCATATAAGTGTTTGGCACCTCGA